AGAGCTTTCCTCTGCAGATGGCTGCAGTCTACAGGGAAAATATACTCCTGCAGGACATCTTCCATCTTCTCATTACCCTATAGACAAGCCTCTCCATGGTGGCCATAAACCCACAGTCTTCCTTTTCTCCTGCCCCTCTACCTTTGCTTTGGAACCCATCTCCTTCATCCTCCCCATCCTTGCTTTCTCCTTTATCAGTATAGCCAGTCTTCCTCTCAGCTTGATCCTGTTTAAGACTACCATGTTAAAAAGCCAGCCAGCTTTCAACAGTTTCCTCTCCCATTGACAAGTGTCTTGAAGATTATCTGTAGCCAGTGCCCTAACCTTAAGTCTTATCTCAGACCACCTCTAATATGGATAAAACATCTCCACTAAGGCAGGCCCCACTATAATCACCTTTACGTCAACAAATCCCAAGGTTAACTTTTAGGCTGCCTTGCAATTTTCTTTCATGTAGTTCCCATTGTTTCTACCATTCTGTCCTTTGTGGCTTACTTTATTCTACCTCACAATTCAGTTAAGAGTTTCTCAAACCTAGGCCCTCTTTCTCTACTGCAGTGGGTGGCATTTATTCCTATGGCCTTAAGGCTTATTTCTATTACTTAGATTACAGACCAATGTTCTACTAAGAGGTCACTTAGATTTCTAAACCAGTTCAAATTAACTAGTTCAGAACGCTGGTCCCCAGCTGGATTTGGGCTATGATGCTTGGGAATGTACAAGACTATACACCTAGCAGTCATGGGCACATCCTCTACTATGGAGTCCCACCTGCTCTAGTTCTTGCTTCCTTAATTTTACCACCACCTTACTCCAAGGTGGTTATCTCTTGCAGTTGGCCGCCAACTGGCTCACCAGCACCCATCTTCTTGCAAATTTGCATTTCTAATCATGGATTTCCCCTTGCTTTAAACAGAACCTTACTGGTTTTCAGCCTCATTTTATAACACCCACAGCTGCCATAAAGGCCACCTTCAAGCTTCATTAAGCACTCAATGCTTGTCTAAATGAGGGTACTTAAGAGGGAAAGGAGTCACAACAGTCAGAAATCTAGACTTACGGTCATACTCATTTTTTAGCTAAGGCCTCTGTACGTGGCATGGGATCAACTCTGCCTTGCAAAAATGAGACTTTCGCAGTCTCAACTGCTTTGTCAGGTTTCCCAGATTTGGTCAAATCCTATCATGCACGGAACTTATCTCACATTTAATTGTGATGACATTTCCTCCATTCAACTGTAAGCTTCCAAAGGAACTATTTTTGCACACCATCGTGTCCCCAACTCCTACTACAGCTTTCAATAAATATTTTGAATGCCCAAATACAATATTTGTTCTTTCCAGTGAAGTGAAAGCAGATGACATGCTTAGTAAAAAAAAAAAAAAAAAAAAAAAGTAACGCAAGGGAGAGTATAGCTCATGTATAGAGTGCATGCCTAGTATGCATGAAGTCCTGGGTTCAACCCCCAGTACTTCCATTAAAAAAAAAAGAATTAAATAACCTAATTACACCCCCACCTCCAAATAATGCAGTAACAATATAAAGCATACCTGTGACCTAGAAACCAACCAGTGTAGTTCAGCTCATCATATATGAGGCACTAGAAGGAAGCACTTATTTCTCCTTCTGCCTAGCATAATCCTATATTTCATAAAACTGTATCAGTCACTGATAGCACTGAATATTAATCTTAAATGCTGGGATTTAATGTAATTTTCAAGTTGCTGGGAGAAGAGGGAAGGGAGGATACCCTTTAATGTTTCAGGGAAAGCACACTATTTTCTGGCAGTTAATCACCTTATCATACAAACCTTCAAGAAGCACACTAAATTTCTTTTATTTATGGCCCCACTGTTTTATATATACACTTATGGACTGTCCAAAACAGTAATTTTATCATTCCTGGAAATTTTAAATAATCTAAGCAGCTCCTGAAGATCAAGTTTTCAAATTCCTCACCAAGGACATCCTAAAAGAAAAAATAAAGCATTCAATTTGACAAACATTTACATGCACCATATCTTAAAAGCTTCATCATAATACTCTCAGTACATACTGCCATACTACTGATTTAAGTTATGCACTTCCGGACTTCAAATGCCAACCAAGATTTGGCAAGTGGTTTTTTAAAATTTGGCTACTACATGTAAAATCATGTTATCTTTAGATATTGTGATAAATAAGCTGACAAGAGGCTATACCATTTGCAGTTAACCTGTTTATAGGTATAGTAGTAATACTGAGCCATTAATACCTAATCTAAATTAATACCCACTAGAAAAGTCATCCCAATCTAGAAAGGTTAAAATTCAAATTACAAATAACTGCAGTATGACAACTTCTGCTTCAACAGTCTCACCCTACCTTAGGCCATCTTTGTGCTTCCAGATAGTTAAGTATTCAGCTAGCAGCAGTCTGCTTCAAGCATCCATTTTCACCTGAACAAAAATTAAAACTGGTTAACAGAAACATACACACGTTGGCAGAATCAAATTCACATGCGTAAATGACGTAACTGTTACTTACGCAGCTCCTACACCAAAGATATCAAATACAAGGGCAGGTAATGGCTGCTTAAGTGTTTGATTTACGCCTTTTTTGACACCACATTCACTAGTTTCCAAAAGTGAATGGGCAACACAAAGGCTGCAAGAAAACCGCGTACGGAATACCGTGTGGCACAAAGTTGCTGACACCAAACAACTGGCTGAGAGGAACTGTTCTGTTAATTAGAGCTGAAAGGGGAATTAATCCCAGCTCTGCGTTTCCTCTTAAGATTCCGAATCCGAGTAGGTAACGAAAACCGAATACAAAATCTTAAATGGCTAGTTTTAAAATTTCGAGGCAACTGGTCTTTTTCGCACGAACATGAAAACTCACCTGCAAAGTTGGTGATATTAGATTGCCGCCAAGTTCTGCACCCTGAGACGGTTGTCAAATCTAAACCTTAAATGGCACTTTACTTCTGCGTTGACCCGATGTCACACTGACACGGTAGGCATAGGTGCAGTTATACGGTGAGGCCCTCCCTTTCACATGCAAGAAATTCTCACTTCTATTAAAAAGCCCCTGACATGCAGCCGATGACCAATAAATGTCCTCAACCCCACTGCCCGATCTGCCGGCGTGGGAACGCAGGCCGGGGCCGCCTGAGGTTCCACGAACAACGTGGCGCGGGGCCAGACCAGTCCACCGCCCTCCATGCATTCAGGGACCGGGACCCTCGGACCGGGCCCGGCCGTGCCGGGCACCATTCAGCCACGCGCCCCTGCCGGGCACCCCGACCATCGGAGGCCAGGCCGCCGTGAGGCCCAGGCCACCCGTTGTCCCGGGCCACCCATCGTCCCGGAACCCGCAGCACAGCGTAACAGACTCCGAACGAGCGCGGAGGCTGGAAAGGCTGACGAGCCGTCCCACAATGCTTTTCTACGACTGGAAGGATCCACTGTCCGAGGGGCGGGGGAGAGCGGACTGTACCACCGGCCGCCGAGCCCTCGCGAGACGCCGCCGTGTGGCGGGAGGGCGAACTGCGCAGTGATTGGCTGAGGGCGGGGCTCCACGGGGAAAGAGCTCTGAGGAGGGAAGGTTCTCGCACTGAGGCCTCGTGGCGTCGCGCGACCCGTCCTTTCCGCGCAGAAGGAGGTTTTATCCAGTGTGCTAAACAAGCACCTGTCTTCTCAGTGTCGAGAGCACACGGTCAGCGTGAGCTGCGGGTGTAGCCCAAAGGACTTGAGACCTTGTTGTTCTGTGGGAGGACAGACAGCTCACCGTCTCCAGCTGAGGAAGAGTAAGGTCATTAAGTCCAGAAATACGTGTTGAGTACTTGCTGTGCTTCACGCTCGGTTCTAAATGCCAGGGAATCAGATGTGAATGGGACAGACACGCTGTCTTACGTTCCGGTTGGGTGAGAAAGACACTGAACAGGTAACGTGGACACTGTAAATCCGTATAGTGTTAAGTGCGGAAGGAAACAAAGGAGGGTAAAATGTGACAGAGCCGCGCTGTCCCATAGGAATATAGTGCCAACCACGAATGTCATTCTAAATTTTAGAAATGCCATATAAAAAAGTAAAAAGGAACAAATTAAATTAAAGAGTGATTCAACATAGTTGCCGAAAAAACAGCGTCTGCACCCCCAGGAAAGTGAATCCAAACTCGGAGGCAGAGTTTTGGGCGCAAAGAGCAGCTTTATTGCCTTGCCCTGCCAAGGGGAGTCACGGCAGTCTACTGCCCTGGAAACTGAATCCATCTTGGGGTTGGGGTCTTGGGGTTTTATAGAAAAGCTGGATGGAACAGAAAAGGTGACAAAATCAGAGCATTTTACAGGGTGTTCTCTTCCATCTTGATAAGAACTTGCTGTTGTTATGGAGGAATTTAGGAGAGTCTGCCCTTTTTCTTCAGGTTTGGTCCAAGACCTTCTTTCAGGACCTCTAAAGTAAAAAAGGACTAAGTGATTCTAAGAAAAGAGTGCACAGGGAGGGGAGCTTGTTAGTCATAAGATCAGTTTAGCTAAAAGGACAGGTCTGAACAACTCAATAGCGATCTTGTTAGTTTTCTACTCTTTCAACATGTGCTGTATTATCACTTAAACATGTAATCAATATCAAATTATTAATGATATATCTTGCATGCTTTTATTCCTACTAAATCTTCAAAGTCTGGTGTATATTTTATATTTCTCATACCTTTCAGTTCAGATTAGTCACATTTCAAGTACTCAGGGGCAGGCCTTATCCAGGTGGCTGGAGCCGTGGGAGGAGTCCAGGTGGCTGAGATGTAGCAGAAGAAACAGGCGTGAATCATACAGGACTTGGTACCTGTGGTAAGGAGTTGGGTTTTGGGCTGAAATTTTAGAATTGATTATTACCACAGAAATAAAGTGGAGGTAGTTAATTGACTCTTTCCTAATAATTATAACTGATCAAAGGGACAGAGACTGCAGTGGTTTGGGCTGTGTGGTAGCACTTGAGTCCCCTGTAAGTCCTAGTAGAGACCACATCCCAGCACCTTTGTTTCTCTTACTGCCGAAAGGAAAAGGGAGAGGGCAGAGGAAGGGAGAGAAGTAAAGAGGGAGGAAAGAAAGAAAAAGAAAGAAAGCAGGAGGAAGGAAAGGAGAAGAATGAAAGAGGGAGGAAGGAAAGAAAGGAGGAGGAAAAGAAAAAGGAAATTCAAGCCCGTAGCCCCATGGTCATCACACAAGGACTAGCCTGAATGGTAACATCATGTTGGGACAGTGGGGACAACAGTCATACAGAAGTAAACGTGTAATGATCACAGGGAGGTAAATAACTCTCAGGCCTTCCTTAGGAAGTCTCTATAATGTCTGGGAAGAGAAAGGTTGGGGAAGGAGAGTGACACCTCAGAGGATGTGATTTAAAGACACTGAAGGGTACAATGTGAGGATTATAACAAATTTCAATCTTGCCTTCTTGCTAGGGAAAGGCAGGGAGAGGAAATGTCCTCGGGCTGGAACAGGTTTAGATCCTGCTCTGACTCTGCTCTTGTTCTTTTGGGTAAATGAACGCTTCTTTAAGCCCAGGGTTCCTCTTTCACAGGATAATACCTATTTCTATGTACTATATAGGTTAAAGAATTAAAGAAAGGTTTGTTGAATCATCTAGGACTGTGAAGTACATAGTGATACCCAGTGAATGACTCTCATGAACTAGACTTTTCTTGTTTACTGCCACCCCAGGTATGGAATTTTCTTGGGTTGAGTTTTTAAGGTACAGGGAACTATACTGCTGTATTTCTTTTAATGGCTTGATATTTTTGTTCCCACCTTATTCTTTCCTATTCACCCCTTTATAACTCTCCCCTCAGCTCTGGATGGTTCAAGAATAGATAGACGGTAGGCATTTGTTTCAATTATTGGATTAATGTTGGCATCAGGAAATTAATTCTAAATTCTTCATTTTCCTGTCTGCTTCAACCTCACAGAGTCTGGGGAGGAAAACCCAACAATTAAGCCAATGCAAGCAGAAAGGACATGAGAAAAAGATCAGGGATAGTTTCTACCTAGGTTTCTCTCCACCCTTGCCTGCTGGGGTGGAAGCGTTATGTAAGGATGTACAAGCTATGTTCATACAGTGTTAGCGCAGGCACAGAACAAATTCTTCTTGTTTGGCGTGGTAGGCCGAATAATGGTCCCTCAAAGATGTCTACAGCCTAGTCCCTAGAACTTGTGAGTATGTTTCATCACACAGTAAAAAATGGGCTTTGCAGATGTGATTAATGTGAGGGACCATGAGATGAGATAGAAAATGAAGAGGAAAACAGAAGAGTCAGAGCTGCAGCAGAAGAGAAGGCAGGAGAGGGGCTCAACCTCCCATTGCTAGCTTTGAAGATGGAGGTCGAAGATCTTTGAAGCCTAAGAGTACAAACAGCTTCTAGAAGCTGGGAAAGGCCCTCAGCTGACAGCCAGCAAAGAGACAGGGACTTCATTTCTACAACTGCTGGAACTGAAGTCAGCCAACCACCTGAATGAGCATGGAAGCAGACTCCCCCCTGGAGTCTCCAGAAAAGAACACAGCCCAGCTGATGCCTTGATTTTAGCCCAATGAGACTCATGCCAGACTTCTGACCTACAGAGCTATTATCATAAACTTGTGCTGTTTTAAGCTGCTGAATTTGTGTAAATTAGTTATGGCAGCAAGAGAAAACTGATAACACCCTCTAAAGGGTGGAGAGTGAGAAGTGGGCTGTTTTCCTTACCCAACTTCTTATCCCACTCCAGTTTTCTCATCAGGAGCATAAATAAGATTTTAGATAAACTATGTGTATTTCATTTTAAGGTGTTTAATCCATATGGGTTGGCATTTTGTTTATGTTGGATGTTAGGGATCTGATTTAGTATCCAACAGATATTAAATAATTTGAATACTTTTGATAATTTAAAATCATTTGTAGATTTTCTTTGGATTTTCTCTTTAAACATATCACCTGCAGAAGCTTTCTTCCTTTCTAATTATACTGTGTGTAAGTGTGCGCGCGCGCGCGTGTGTGTGTGTGTGTGTGTGTGTGTGTGTGTGTGTGTGAATGCCCATGCTAGTACATCTAGGACAATGTTGGATAGAGTGATAATTGACCTCCTAGTCTTGTTCACAATTTTAAAGGAATGCTGTTGAAGTTTCAGCTTGTGTATGTGGTGTGTATGACATTTTAATACATTTCTTATTGTTTATTGGGTTAAGGACATTTCCTATTTTTAGTTTGCTAATAGTTTTTTTTTAATCATGAATGAATGTTGAATTTTATTTAATGTTTTTTTCTGCCTCTTTTGAGATGAATGTATGGGTTTTTTTCTTGTAATTTGTTAATGAGGTGAATTGCATTAATACATCTTCTAATGTTGAACCAATCTTACATTTCTAGAAGAAACCAAACTTGTTTCAAGAAGTATTCTGTTTAGAATGACTATATTTATGTTTATGGACAAGGTGGGATTGTGGTTTTCTTTCTCATATTGTCTTTGATAGTTTTGATGTTAAAATTATACAGATAGCCATTTAATATTAACTTGTTTCTGAAAATCAGATGTCCTATGCAGAAACATTAACTGGGAGCCTATTTCCATACCATAATTTAAATGGTAAAATTAAAATGAGTTACTTCTTAACCCAAATCAGTTTCCTAACATGTAACTAAAATATACTAAACAAACCTCTATTAAATAACAAACTATGCCATGAGGCTGTAAATGTCCATAACTTTGCTTCCTGATCACCAAACAGTATAGTTGTTAACAAATAGTTGCTCTGTCAGCATTTTGCATATTCTCTTTCATTGTTACTGCTTTTTTTGCTTGCTTCTCCCTCTATTAATCTTTAATATTTTCTCAACTTTTTTGGTTCTCGTAGTATAAAACCAGGGTAAAAAGGACAATATGAGATATAAAAGGCACTATAGAAATGTGATAGAGAATGATTCACACTGAGTAGGATGCTTTAGTGCTTTTATCACCAGTGGCGTTTGTCTGGAACATCCCCTGCACTGATACTCAGTATGCTTTCTGATTTGCTGACACATTGTACAGCGAACCTTTTACCAGTTGGGTTTGTAATGTAACTCAAGGCATTTCCCACACCCTTGTTGTTGTTGTTGTTGTTACTGGTAAAAATGTAACGGGTTTGGGGGTCCTAAATACAATATTTCCTATATAATAGCTGAAATGTTGTTTTAAGAGAGATGCATGTTATATGATGTTGGAATTGTTCTGTGGAGTATGCCCATACTAGTTTTATAAAATTAGTTGGAGAAATTTTCCTCTTTTTCTCTTCTCCGAAAAATTTAAATATAATGTCAGAATTATTTTTTCAATTAAAAAAATTAACCTCACTTCTAGAAACTATCTGGGTCTAGTATTTTCTTTGTAGGAAGATTTCAAACTACTAAGTTAAT